AAGAGTGTGCCTGGCCCAAGGTCATCCAGTCAGTTTCCATGGCACAAGCGAGGACTCGAACCTGGGTCCCCCAGACACCAGTCCAACACTCTTAACCACTCACTACACCACACCACAGCCATTTTCAATTGGACAATAATGCAGGAGCAGAGAGTTCGCCCCCTTCCTCAGGCCTGTGACCACAATCCATATTATTCCCTCCTCCACCGCTGCCCCTCAGGGCTAGAATAAGCATCACGAATTCTGGGGATGGAACTCCAACTCCGTGTGGATTTTGGCCTTTAGAACTAGGTGTAAACGTTTGCCCTTGAAAGTGCTGGGGGGAAACCGCCGGCCTCCAGAGAAAGCTGTAGGAAACGGAGAGCGGGAGATTGTGCGATTGCCGGAGAGGAAGGAACAGGAGTGATGAAAAATTCATGGAGGCCGCGTTTGCCTGAGGGGGACTGTGAAGGAGAGCTCCCCCATTGCCGCCACGAGGCAAGGGGACTTCAGGGCAAAGAGAGGACACTGAACTCATCTGATGTCCCTTCAAGGACGGATTCCGGCAAACCAGCTAGAGGGCAATTTCGCTTCTTTGTTATTGCAAGCACGGACCTTTCCACTGGAAGGAGCAGCTAAGAACCAAGAGGAAATGGACTGGCAACAAAACATACTTCCCACTTCCTTCCAGATCGGTGCCCAGAGAACGAATGGGCCCTGCTGAATACAGACGTTGGCCACCAGAACAGCCCTGCTGGATCAGACCAAAGGTCCATCTAGTCCAGCGTCCTGTTACCTACAATGGCCAACCAGGTACCTTCAGGAAGTCCCCAAGGAGAGCACGAAGGCATCACCCGATCCTTGCTGTTTCCCTCCTGAAATCAGAGGCTCTCTGCTTCTAAACATAGAGGGTTTCATTTAGCTATCACAGCTAACAGCCACTGACTGATCCCCATGAATCTAATTCTCTCTTAATTCCTGGGTTAGGAGGTTTGAGTCCAGTAGCCCCTGAGAGACCAACAAGGGTCTCAGGGTATAAAGTGTCAAGAGCTGAAGTTCCTTTTCCCTCAAAGGTTATGCTCTGAAACTCTTGTTGGTCTCTAAGAGGCTACTGGACTCAAATCTGTTCTACTGTAGACCAACATGGCTGCCTAGGAGGTTTGAATCCAGTAGCCCCTGAGAGACCAACAAGGGTCTCAGGGTATAAAGTGTCAAGAGCTGAAGTTCCTTTTCCCTCAAAGGTTATGCTCTGAAACTCTTGTTGGTCTCTAAGAGGCTACTGGACTCAAATCTGTTCTACTGTAGACCAACATGGCTGCCCTCTGAAACTGGGCTAGCAGTGTTTCGATTTCTGGACTGAACTGGACTCAAATCCTTGCTCAGCCAGGGTGGCACAGGGTGGCACATGGGCAAGCAACTGTCTTTTAATCTTAGTTCTCTGTCTTGTTCCAGTAGGGATACTAACAATCGAGGGATGCAAAATAAATAAATAAATTCACTGGTAGGATTAAATGATCAAATCCATTTCCCCACTGCTGACTGGCGGCTAGTCCATCAAATCCAAATTTGGTCAGCTCCATTTGCACTGCTCACTCTTTTGAAATTGACATTTTGAGCAAGGACTTCAGATGTTTCGGCCCATGTGTGCTTTCCCGTAATTATAATGGCATCAAATTCCATCAAATTAAAAAGTTCTGCCCGTTTGAAACACAGCAGCCATCTGGCTTGTTTAGCTTTGGCTGCCGAAAAATCACACAGATGCGCACGCACCTCCTTCATCGAAAGAACGAAAAAAACCCGAACATTCACCCAGCATTCAAACTGGATTCTGCCGTGTTCACACTGAAATTTAAACTCTGTACTTCAGCCTCAGGACCTTTGATCCAAGAATTCCAGTGTGGTGATTTCCACTGATTTCTGCCCCGCCTTCGGTCACACAATAGGTATCGATTAGTTATGTCTGAATCTCACTTACAGGGTGGATGAACGATTCTCGGGCAAATCGGGCAGGAAGGGGTGGTCATCCTCCTTCGTGGCTTCGGGCTTGGCTGTCGGAGACACAGACTCCCTGACCCCTGAGCACAAAGACAAGGGTTGATTCAAGTATGATGGACAGCTTCTTCACCCTATGGCTGGTAGACCCAACCCATCCACATTCCTCCTCAACCAAGATCCATCATTTCCCCTCCTGAACAGTTTGGCTGGGTAAGGTCCATGGCCTCTGGCTTCAAAATGGGCAGGTACCTCCCAGTGAAAAAACAAGGAATGATCACAGAATGGGGGTTATTGTTGTCCAGACACTACCAGCTAGACACTCAGTGCCTCATCAGTGTAGGAAGCCAACAGGATCTCTCTTCTAACCATGATACAGACTGACTGGCTAATGACTGTCAAACATCTAGCAGGCAGCAGTTAGTCAGTCTGTCTGCCCCGGGACCTTCCCAGAACTGGCATCTGAGTAAACCCAGCTCACCCCCATGTTAGAGAATCAGACAAGAGCTATAGGACTCCCAACCAATTCTCCACCCAACCCAACCCAACCCAACCCAACACAGGTATAACCCAGGGCCATCAACTCACCATACAGCTGCCAGATCCGGACTTTGTCTTCATAAGGCAGATCGTACTTCAAGGGATCCCCTACAGGACCCTGGTAATATGGCCTCATTATAGACTCGATGGCAGAGATGTGGCTTAAGCCAATGGCATGGCCGAATTCATGGACTGCCACGGCAAACAGGTCCATTCCATTGGTATCTGAAAACCACGTAAAATAACATTGAGAAGCTCTCGATGTTCACAGTATCTCACCATGTTGGAACTCCTATAAAGGAGGCCGGAATTTTTCATCCCTACATTGCGGAGGATGGGGAGGCTCCTCTAAAGCCACTGAGTAGGTTTGTTCACCAATCAAGGGTAACTTCTCGGATCACAGCTCATTCAGTTAGCTAGTACAATGTCACCGTGGTGGGAAGTGCCGTCAGGTCGCAGCCAACTTATGGCAACAAAGTAGGGTTTTCAAGGCAAGAGACCTTCAGAGGTGGTTTGCCATGGCCTGCCTCTGTAGGGCAACCCTGGGCTTTCTTGGTGGTCTCCCATCCAAGTATTAACCAGGGCCAACCCTGCTTAGCTTCCGAGATCTGATGAGATCAGGCTAGCCTGGGCTAGCCAGGTTATCCTGTATTCTTTTTACTGCCAAGTCACAGCAGACGTATGGTGACCCTTGCGGGGTTTTCAAGGCAAGAGACATTTAGAGGAGGTTTGCCATTGCCTACCTCTGTACAGCGACCCTGGACTTCCCTGGAGGCCTCTCATCCAAGTACGAACCAGAGCTGATCCTGCTTAGCTTCCGATATTTGGCCGGTACAACATTATACCACATAAATACATAACTCTAAGTTGCTCCCAAAGCTGCTTCTTGCTAACATCGCATTAATTCTTCTACTTATTTTTACAATTTGCACTGCCTTTCCATTTTCAAAACCCTTAACATACTACCGACAAGGATGTCACTCTGGTAGCTACCTGCACTCCAAAACCATCTGTACTTTAAACAGAAGGGACCTCAGTAGTGAAGCAGATGCTATGTGCAAAAAAATAAATAAATCCTGGGTTCGATCTCCATCGCCAGCAGCAGCTGCTGGGAAGACCTTTCTCTGCCCAAGACCTTAGAGAACACCAGCCAATCACACCAGACCATTCCGAGATAGATGGACTATTAAAAGAAAGCTTCATGCAAAGGTGGTTCTGTTCAGCGTGCGATGTTCTCGGCTGCCCAAGACTCTGTTTCTTCCCCCTATTTCAAATTATGATTGACAGCTCCAAGCCTAGTTTCTTTTTTTATTATTATTATTAGTGAAAAGAGTTAGAAGGAAGTTGCTTGAACGCTACCTGGAGGCCAAATGGGCCACCTGGGAGTTTGGCAAAGCACACAGGAAGAAGAAACAACCTTTCTTCCTTCTCCACTCAAGTAGAAAGCAGGAAGGGTTTTTGATCTGCCTTAGCTTTTCACCATCCCAAGGTATTCAAATACTTCTTATTTCTCTTAGGATATACTTTGCTTTCTGACTTTCCTTCTTTTGTTTATGACAGTTCATTTGCACCTTCCATAAAGAGAGGGTTTTTTAAAAAAATCACCTGGAAATGCTTGGCCCCGGAGAACAACTGAATAAGACACATGCTTCCAGAAAACTCACTGCCAAACTGACAACCTGGAAGATATTTTTATGCCACCTGCAGAGGCCAGGGGGAATGGAATCAATAAAAGATAAGGCTGCAGACAGTTCCTGATTTTGGTTATGTGGCTGTTACTTTCCCCCTTGTCGTCTGGCGCTGTCGCGTCTAGGGGCTACGTGTCTCTGTTGACCCAGCGACACTTAACTAGGGACACCATCAAAATTCGTAGTTCCCGGGATCCATATGAGAATTTGTCTGGATCATAAAATCTGTCTGGACATAATGACTGGGTTGTATCACAAACCGAGCACCGTTTCCCTGGGAAGTTCCGCTGCCAACTGGAATGTTAAATGTGCATGTCCAATTGGCATTCAGAAGACTAGTGAGGCCGATGAAATTTATAACTCCCTGACTCAGCAATGTTACTTTGTTCTCATAATGTTAGATTGTTCGATTGAATTACGAATTAAACACCATTTCCTCAAGACATTCCAGGTTGGCCTACGGCATATGGTTGCGGTCAGGATTAGAGAGAGGAGGGGAAACCACACTTACACCGCAAACTCCTCGGAAGAAGGCTGGGATAAAAATGTGACTGAGAGAGAGATTGACCAACGATCCATTTAGTCCAGCAGACCCTGATCGATGGCCCAGGACTCAGGCAAGGACCTTTCCAGTGCTATCGAGCTGTCAAAAACAGAACTGAAGGCCTCTTTCTACCACTCAGCTCTGCGGGGGACAGAATTACTGCAGCAGTTTCCTGAGCAGTTGCTAAAATCCAGGTAAAAACGGCTCAAAGCCGACAGCTGCAAATTCTGAACTGTTGACAATACAAGGTATACAAAACACAGCCACCAATTCAACGTGCTGTTGGTTTTTGCACCGCTTATATTTTTAACTGTGCAATTTATATATTCCTTGACGCTTTTACTTTCTTTTAATATTACAGCGCACCAGATGGGGACATATTAGCTCTCTCCCCCACACACAATCATTTATTTACATCTATGTCTGGCTACAGACATACTAATGCAAGTTAAACCGGCCAAGGGCTAAACAATAATACAGATATGTCATTCATTCCTTCACTTGCTGAGCTGTGGCTCTCTGTAATGAAGTTCCAAGGGGGGGGAGCAGGCTCGTAGCTACAGTGGGGCATCTCGGGGCCAGCCCCCCGAGTTACTGGCAAAGCCCCAGACTTCCCCTCCAGCCCGGGGCCCCCAAGCGGTGGCAGGTGTGGGGAAGGCGCTGGGTATTCCTTTAATTTGATTCACCAGTGCCCCCCCTGAAATTTAAATGCCCCCCAACTTTAAAAATCATGGCTACAGGCCTGGGGAGGGGGTGACAGCCAATGTGGTACACTGGTTAGAGACCTGGACTAAGAACTGGAGGACTGGGGTTCGAATTCCCCCCTCAAACATGGAACTCACCGGACAAACCTGGGCCTCTCTATCAGCCGAACCTACCGCACAGGGTTGTTTCCATGAGAATAAAATGGAGGAAGAGAGAATGCTAGAAACCACATTTGGATCTCATTGATGAGAAAAGCACGTGGTAAATATCTAAAGAAATGAATTAAAACCTCAACTACCTTAAGGGGTGGCTGTAAGGATAAAATGGAGGGGATGTGGGATCAAAATGTGGCAGGGAAGTTAATCTCAGGGTCATGGCATGTTCTGGGTCAAACTGGACCCAGAATCCCATAAAATACAAACATAACCACCCAAGGCTTGAAAAGATTTGAGAACAACAGAGAATCTGTGGTTCAGTTCTCCAAGACCCTAGAGAGTCACTGCTAGTCAACGGAGTCAAAACTAGAGAATGTTATTGTCTTTTCATTCCTAGCGGATTTCCTACATGGTTTGATCAGCAGAAATCCAGCAAGTATAGCTTGTCTGAGCACAGAGATGTAGTAGGAAATGGTGCCCCCACCGAACTTCTGCCTGTGATGTGGCTATCGTAGAAACTTTGCCAGAATAAAAAGATGATAATCCATTGTTCCCCCGACCTCCACTGGCACTCGGTGGGGTGGGGAAGGTGGGGATTTATTTATTTATCTATCATATGGCAGAGTTACACACAGGAAGCATATAATAATAAGGCAGGAAAGAATAGTGTCACACAAGGCCATTTCCAGCCAAAAGAATGAAAGTGATAACAAGATATCGTGCAATGTTCTAGGAAGCCTAGAGTGTCCTGCAATGTGAGGATATCACTTCCTGTTTTTTCTCTCTCTCCTGGAAATGACATCACAGCATCAGGCAAAGCCACTTTTTCATGGCTCCACCCTACAACCCTGCTGTTGCCATGGGTGGCAGACCCATGCCAAGAAAACTCCTGAGGTAGGCCAAGATCCTACGGAAATCCCTGACTTCCATAGAGGCCAGTCTACCCATCTGCTCCCCCTTCGCCTTCAATACCACCAACAGTAGAAAAGAGGGAACCCTCGAGTTTCTCTTCTGCTCTCTTACCCTGACATACCTGCTGATCGAAAAGTCCAATATTCATCATCGTCAAAGTGAGTGTCTCCAGCAGTGTGGTGCTCCCCGGGGAAGAAAGCGTGAGCCACCGTGCCTCCTGGGCCGTCAAAGGGGTATCCGTCGCTGTGATCCGATTTGGAGAAGTCTATTTGTATGTCGGCATTGTTGCCTGCCACTTCGTGGAAATTCAGTGGCGTGATGTCACTCCACACCTTCAGGGCGTAGTACAGGAGGGCGCGGACGGTGTCGTGGCCCAGGTGAGATTCCTTGGGAAAGGTGCGGACTCTGGAAGAGAAGAAGGAAACCAACTATCTGAGGGGAGGAAAACGGCTCAAACCATGGAGCATTTGCTTAAGAAGAAGGGGGAATCAGTGCCCACATTCGTTAACAGGACCTTCCCCCCCCTTGATCTTTGGTAAGAGGCTGTGCCTCAGCACCGAGACCCCCGAAATCTCCAGCTAAAACGACCATGTAGGAGGTGATGTAAAAGACGTCAACGACCCTGGAGAGCTGCTGCTAGTCAGAAAAGGCAATATTGAATTTGTTAGACCAAGGGGTTTGGGATAAGGCAACTTTAGGAGCTCAAATGTGTGCCCTCTGCCTTAGGAACAGGGTTGCCACCAACCCGGAGGGGGAAACGGTGTCTGGCCCCTTTAGAAGAAGAAGAGATTGGATTTATATCCTGCCCTTCACTTGGGGTCTCAGAGTGGCTTACAAACTCCTTTCCCTCCCCCTCCTCACAACAGACACCCTGTGAGGTAGGTGGGGCTGAGAGAGCTCTGACAGGAACTGCCCTTTCAAGGACAGCTCTTATCAGAACTATGTCTTGCCCAAGGTCATCCAGCAGGTGCAAGTGGTGGAGTGGGGAATCAAACCCAGTTCTCCCAGATTAGAGTCCGTGCACTTCACCACTACACCAAACGGGCTCATTACGCTTTATCTGAGGCTTAATGCAAGGAAATGGACAGCTGAAGCTTTTCAGAGCCAGTTTGGTGTGGTGGTTAGGAGCATATCTGTTGTGGGGAAGGAAAGGAAAAGGGATTGTAAGCCGCTCTGAGACTCCTTCGGGTAGTGAAGGGCGAAGTATAAATCCAATCTCCTCCTCCTCCTCCTCTTCTTCTTCTTCATGGCATGGTCCATAACATCCCACTGGGTGACCCTGGGCCCGTCACTCACCCTCTTTCAGTGCACCCTACCTCGCAGGGTTGCTGTGAGGATACAAAAGAGGAGAGGGGAGTCTCATGTGCACTGTCTTCAAAGGAAGGATAGGATAAAAATATAATAGGTTAAGGGAAAAGGGCCATGGGCAAAGGATTCAAATTTGTAATAGGTTAAGGTTAAGGAAAAAGGGCCATGGGCAAAGGATTCAAATTGCACTGAAGTGGATTTTGGGTTAAATAGTAGACTACTATTTGACTGTTTCAGCCCTGACCTGGATAGCCGGGGCTACACCAGTCTTGTCAGACCTCAGAAGCTAAGCAGGGTCAGCCCTGGCTAGCATTTGGATGGGAGACCACCAGGGAATACCAGGGTCGTGATGCAGAGGCAGGCAATGGCCGACCACCTCTGACAGTCTTTTGCCTTGAAAAACCTGTGGGATCCCCACAAGACAGCTGCGACTTGACAGCAACATTAGCAAACTACAACAAAGCTGCGGGGTAAATATTCTGGTTAGATATTAGAGTAACAGCTAACCCAAGAGTGTTCGAGTAACGGTAGCCTAAGAGTAACTGCTGTTCAACAGCTCACCTCAGGAGGTGGTGAGTTGGGTTCTCCTTCACCAGTAGGGTTGCCAGGCCTGGACTGGGAAATACTTTGAGATTTTGGGGGTGGAGCCTGAGGAGGGCGGGGTTTGGGGAGTCTTTTGTTGGAGGGGTTGGATTGATTCGCCCTGGTGGTTCTGCGCATGTGCCATGATAGTTTCCTATGCGCATGAGCAAACTGGGGAAAATATTTTTAAAAACCCGTCGACGCACGCTCCTGCGCGTCGGTAGTGTAGACGCCGGGGACCAACGTGACTGCGCGGTGAGGCGCGATAAGGGAGGTAAGTGTGATTGCGATTATCTAGATCAAATATAATCCGGTTAGAACTGGAGCAGTTTAACCCACTCTCAGCCCGCCGTCTGAATGCACCCGGAGGCTGGCATCCCTATTCACTGGAGGCCTTGCAGTATCTGCTCAATATGTTGTACCTACATGTGATCAGTGGACGGAGTTGGACTAGATAACTTCTAAGGTTCCTTCCAACATACCCTCTATCCCCCTCTCCCCTATGCTACGACTCAGATTAAATCGGGAAGCTTCCAGAGCTGCGTTTCTTCCTTTCTTTCTCACTATCTTTCAAAGGCAGGAAAAACATAAAGCTCATCATGTGTCATATGGCCCAAAGCAGCAACTTCACTTGCTGGAAATGTAGGTTCTCTCTCTCTCTCTGCTGGTTATCTACCAGGAACAGCTTCATGCTGAGCCCTCTGATTACCAGCAGGGAGAGAGGGACTGGCGGTATTTGATGGAGGAATGAGCCAGCCGAGCATCAACACTCGACTCTGGGGGGATTTGGGGGGCTGGCACCCCAGGAACAAACAGCAGCTGCCAAGAACAGCAATTAGTGCCCCCCCCCCATACGCACAAGCACACAATGGTCAACACTGCTGATTTAGGCCCAAAGCGATAAAGCCAGGGACCCTTTCTAGCAATCCGCTCCTTTTAATTTGGTTTGCGTGGCAGAGCCCGATCCGGTTATCTTTTGACGCCACAGGTCGGGGGCTGGTTAATAGTTTGCCTGCGGGAGGCTCGAGGGCCCAATTGAGAAAAGCCATTAGTTGGAGCATTAATTAATGAATTCCCGCCGGAGCCGCGGAAGGGCAATAAAAGCTTGTTTATCTCTAAGCGCAGGTGAGGCTGTGGTCTCCCCGTTCCGTATGCGTAGTCCTTCGTCCCCCCCCTCCCCACCCCGTGCTCAACAGACCATCCTTGGACGCTTCAAGGAAAGTCACCAGATGTCTGAAGCAGAACTCTGAGGAAAGTTCTTTATTCCGCTTTTCAGAATGGAACTGGAGGAGGGATGGTAGGAGGTCGCAGAAGATTTCTCCCTGTTTACCCTTCCCACTGCTTTTCCACATGCTTCTGGGGGCAGTGGTGATCAATGCTCCCTCTAAGCTGTGGAGTCTTGTGAGCAAAAATTCCACTTTGTGAGCTCCTGGCATTAAAGTTGTGAGTTAGTGATTTAGCTGCTGCATAAATCAGTTTGCTCTGGAGCCGTCCTTCCTGAGCCAAGACAAAAATGTGTGAGCCAGAGACTACAAAATGGTGAGCTGTCTCACACTAACTCAGCTTAGAGGGAACACTGGTGGTGATCACCGTCTCCCCTCCCTCCCCCGTGGGAAGCCATTTTTTTTTTACCCACGAGGCACCAGAGTGAGGGCAGGAAACATGGCTTCCTGCCCTCACACTGCTGTGTGGCTTCAGCTGTTACACAGAGATCAAAAAAATAGGCCAAGGCGAGAATTTTTTTTTAAATACTTCAGCTAAAAATTTCCTACGTGTTTTACCGACAGGCTTCTTCAGAGGAATCTGTAAGTCTTTCAGAAGACTAATAGGCTCCCCCGAAGAAGCCTGTTAATGAAACTTGTGGGGAATTTTCAGCTGAGTAATAAAATAGGGTCGCTGTTAAGTCGGAAGAAGGGTTCAAGACAAAAATGTGTGAGCCAGAGACTACAAAATGGTGAGCTGTCTCACACTAACTCAGCTTAGAGGGAACACTGGTGGGGATCACCGTCTCCCCTCCCTCCCCCGTGGGAAGCCATTTTTTTTTTACCCACGAGGCACCAGAGTGAGGGCAGGAAACATGGCTTCCTGCCCTCACACTGCTGTGTGGCTTCAGCTGTTACACAGAGATCAAAAAAATAGGCCAAGGCGAGAATTTTTTTTTTAAATACTGAAGCTAAAAATTTCCTATGTGTTTTACCGACAGGCTTCTTCAGCGGAATCTGTTAGTCTTTCAGAAGGCTAATGGACTCCCCCGAAGAAGCCTGTTAATGAAACGTGTGGGGAATTTTCAGCTGAGTAATAAAACAGGGTCGCTGTTAAGTCGGAAGAAGGGTTGCCAGCTCCCTAGGACTCCCAGGTGGGTGGTGGGTGGGGGAAATTACTGGGAGGCTGAACAACACGACATGCCTACGTCACCCAGGAGCTAGAAGTAAACGCAATGTGTCTATGTCACCCTATGGTTTGAAACTAATTCTACCACAGAGTTTTGCCCCCAAACCAAAGCATCGCCTCCAACATGCCTACATCACTTCCGGGTGACGCTGGCACGTCGTGTTTATTTCCAGGTTCTTGCCTGTTTGGGGTGGTAATTATCCCCCACCGGCCAGCTGGCTGGCACCGGGGTGGGGGAGCACTGGGGCATGTCCTACGCACTGGGGGGGGGACCTGGCAACCAATGCTCCCTCTAAGCTGTGGAGTCCTGTGAGCAAAAATTCTACTTGGTGAGCTACTGGCATTAAAGCTGTGAGTGAGTGATTTGGCCACTACATAAATTAGTTTGCTCTGGACCTTCCTGAGCTAAGACAAAAATGTGTGAGCCGGAGGCTAAAAAACTGAGTTAGCTCACACTAACTCAGCTTAGAGGGAACACCGCTGACAACCCTAAGTCAGAAGCCACTTGATGGCACTTAACATGCACACAATAAAATATAATGCTGACTTCCACCATTGGCCTTGGCCTGTTTTTAATCTTAGTGACTGGTGCGGTCCTTTTTATATGTATAAATATGATATATACATTTATATGTATAAATATAATGCTTATTTGCACCTAGGCCTATTTTTTATCTCTTAGTGACTGGTGCGGTCTTTTTATTTTCTCCTTTCAGCTCTCATGTCGCCCCTTCGTTCTATGGCATTGTCAGGAAGCTGCATCAGAGGAGCTTCCTGCCCTCACTCTGGGATCTCGTTATAAATAAAAAGCAAAATGGTGCTCAGCAACAGAGGTCGTGTGAGCGCCACAGCCACCAAAACAAGGCAAACAGGAAGAGGCAGCAGTGGCTGTCAGTGGGCAGAACACTTTGTCCCTATTGGCAGCCCTTTCAAACCATCAACATGCCTCCCTCCAATTTCATATCCTCTCAATAGGGTATGGGCAGGCTCGTAGCCATGGTGGAGCTTTTCGGGGCTCCGCCCCTTTCTTAAAAGGCACAGCCCCACAAGAATTTCTCCTGTTAATGCTTTTTTCAATCATTTAAAAATGTTTTTTTAAAAGGAATGTGCTCCTTTAAGCAGAG